TTACACGCGAGATTCCTTCTTGGGGAAAATTCATTAATAACTATTTTCAATTTAGATGCCTATTTTCTAGCTGGATGGGCAAGGAGAGTTCATTTAAATCTTAGTTTCTGGAATATATTGTTAAAGATGAGCAAGTAGTCTGCTTAATGTTGCTTTGCAGTGTGTTAAATAACCATTTGAACATTTTTTTTCCGTCTTCTACAGGGAAAAACAACTGAAGTTAGATAAAATGAGAGCAACTCAGACGTATATTGAAGAATTTAAAAAGGAACAAGCTATCTGGAAGAGAAAGAAACAGGAAGAGATCGAAGAAGAAAATAGGAAAATTGTGGAGTTTGTCAACATGCAGCGACAAAGAGAAGAAGATTGGCTGGCTAAAGTTCGAGACACTGAGGAGAAAAAAGAGAGGCTTCAAAGCATGGTATGAAAAAATTGAAATTGTAAAAGAAATTATTGTACATTCTTGTCTTTCATGTAGAAATCCTTCCTCCTTGCATTAGGTTGCCCAAAATCTGGGAAGAGAACAACAGAAGCGTGAAGAATTGGAACAAATCCGCCAAGAGCTGTATCTGGAAGAACAAGCAGAGACAGAAAGGAAGAAGATGATGGTAAGTGGTGGCAGGTCACTGAAGTAGCACCTATGTACTGGGGAGAGGGAATATTTCACTTTCCTGGGACTTCTGCAGATGCACAGATGGATGTTTTGGTACTTGTCAGGTACCGGTTTGTTCATGTCAGTTTTGTGTGCCTGTGCATAAACTGTTAAGGGAAAATGCAAGTGGAGAGGAGTATTGCAACTTTGCCTGCAAAACATTCAGTGGAGCTGGTCTGGATGAAACTTTAATAAAAATACTAGTGTATTATGCAGAAAAACGTGTAATTTATGGAGTACTTGCAGCTATCTAAACAGACCAAATATAAAAATGTAAAGAGAAAATTAAACTGGTTTGAGTTGCTGATTTAGAGGTAAAGTAATGAAGTGAATGCAGGCAGCAGTATTTTACAGTCTTCCTCTGTCCCCTCACGTCTGGTGGTGGTGTATCAGAGCAGCGCTCCTTCAGTCTTTGGACATTTTAAGCATCACAACTGCAGTGACAGAGCAACAGCCCCCGTGCAATTCCTTCTGCCTCTGAGGGTGCTCTTCAGAGGTCACGTAGCTGCCATGGCCACGAGCTGGCAGGGGTTGTTCATGGATTGGGTTGGTTGGGGGTTTTTTTCATGCTTTGGATTTGCTAAGTCTGCAGTGTTATTTGTGACTTTGGGATGTTTTTGAGGGATTCCTTGAGCCCATTTTGGTCTGTGTCAAAAGCATAAGATCTAATTCTGACGTGGGTTTAGGTGTATTAAATGAATTTGATTTGTTTTCAGTTCTGTTCTGGCACAACGTGTCTGTTTCCAGCACTATTTCCTAATGTTCTTAGACAGGCAGTTCATATATGAACTTAGTTCTTGGAGAGAAAACTCTGTCCTTTGACTTTCCTTTGCTGTCCCTGATGTATTTCTGTTCTAATTTCAACCAGGAAGACAACTGTAGGTTTTGAATACCCATATTCCCCCCATTATGTACTTATTTATCTTGTGAAGGACAGTGCTAGTAACGTTGAAGTTGAGGTTTAAGTTATGTGGGTTAATTGTCTGCTTGCTATTTGCATGTCCACAGTGTCTTACCTTGCTACGAGTAACAAACAGAATGTAACACAGGCTGAGATACATGACACTGCTATTTTCAGAGTTGTTCAGGATGGCTCGTTCACTTCATACTAGTGGAAAAAAATTAATCTCCTTTTGGTTTGTACTTAATTTTAGGAATCTAGAGACATTTGCCAAACTGGAGAGCACTGTCAGATACAGAGTGTTTCCTCCAGTTGTTTTTGCTAGAAGGTAACAGCTACAGTGAATTTATTCCAAGATAAATCGTGTAGGTTGGCTGGTGGCTTTTAGGGCTACAAAGATGATTAAGGGAGTGGAGAACCTCCCTTATGAGGAGCGGCTGAGGGAGCTGGGTCTCTTTAGTTTGGAGAAGAGGAGACTGAGGGGAGACCTCATTCATGTTTATAAATATTTCAAGGGTGAGTGTCACGAGGATGGAGCCAGGCTCTTCTCGGTGACAAACAATGATAGGACAAGGGGTAATGGACACAAACTGGAACACAGGAGGTTCCACTTCAATTTGAGAAGAAACTTCTTCTCAGTGAGGGTGACAGAGCACTGGCCCAGGCTGCCCAGAGAGGTTGTGGAGTCTCCTTCTCTGCAGACATTCAAAACCCGCCTGGACGCCTTCCTGTGTAACCTCATCTGGGTGTTCCTGCTCCGGCAGGGGGATTGGACTGGATGAGCTTTTGAGGTCCCTTCCAATCCCTAACGTGCTGTGATTCTGTGATGATCAAAACTTTCCCAAGTATGTTCAGTAATAAAGCGTTTTACTGAATTTCCTTTATAGGCAGAAGTTGAAAAGAGAAGAAGGCAACGCCTGAACTTAAAGCAATCGTATGAAGAGCAGCTTGCTTTAAAGATGCTGCTGCGACAGGCTATGCAAGAAGAGGAGGAAGCTTTCAGACAACAGATGTTGGCCAAGCTTGCAGAGGACGACCGCATCGAACAGATGAATGCTCAGAAACGGAGAATGAAACAGCTTGAACACAACAGGGCTGTGGAAAAGCTTATTGAAGACCGTCGCAAACAGTTTATTGCAGATAAAGTAAGTTTTCACTTTTGCCTTTGGTTTGAGCCAGAGTTTCAATACGAGAACACTTCTTCATGACAAGACTTGTTACTATGGAAAGGTGACAAGGGGATTGCAGAGAAATGTCTGGGGACAAGCAGGCCCTTTTGCTTGCTGACAAGAACAAAGTCTTTTTAGAGCTAACTCTTTTTGTAGATCAGGAGGTTAGAGTCCTTGGACTCCTCTAAACCCAACACGCTTCACAAATACCTCCTCAGGAGCCTTGGGATCAGCGACACAAGTGGTGTCCAGTTCAGTGTCCCTGATGTGTGAGCAGGGGAGGTCCCAGCCTTGATTTTAGATTAGATTAAGTCTCTCAGATTATCACCTGAGGAAGAAAAGCTGTAAACTGGAAACAAGTCATGGAATCCAATACTGCAGTTTTCAGAGCTGTTTATAGGGTATGAATCACATGTGTAACGTGAACTGCAATTTCTAGTCATTAGCATGAGTCTGCACACCTGTTTCCCCTTTTAAGACGACACTAAACACTTCCGCAGTGGACTGGCCCCATGTCCTGCCCTTCAGTTGTCTGAAGGTTTTTTTCTAGTTACCAAACAGTTATTGTTTAAACAGTGCTTTGTGGGGGTTTTTTTACATACACTTTTCTATCCTTTTCTAAGTCATTTCCTGTGAGCAGGAGGTACTCAGTGGAAGTTCAAAGTTTACTGCACTAAAAAAAAGATTTCTCTTTATACTCTGGGGGATATTGGTGGAAACAAATGCTCACAGGGCTGAAACCAAGAGTTACAAAAACTTGTTTCTTGTAGGAGCGTGAACTTGAAGAAAGACAGTTAGAGGAGAGGAGACAAGAAAACATCCGTGCGGTTGTTGAAGAAGAGAGGCAGAAACTCCTGAAAGAGCATGCGTCTAAGTTACTGGGTTATCTTCCTCGTGTAAGTGAATTGTATTTTAAATGCTTTAAGTCTTTGTCCTGTAGATCAGTTTTCTCTTGGACAGTTCGAGGTGAAGTTGCAGAGCTGTGTACGTTCCTGGAGTCAGTGGGGGTCCTTATGGTGTCACCTCTCCTGTGCTCACCTTTTGCTTTTTTTTCTGGTTTACTTTTTATTTTCTGTTTCGAGTTGGGTAGAAATTACAGGAAAGTGCTTTCTGTATTGAGGGGCCTTGGGCTCTTCTGCAGCACAGATGCCTTGGACAGAACTTGCTGAAAGCTTCCGCAGTGTGTGGCACATCTGGTTTTTGGGATATGGAATGGAAGTTCTAAAGCAGGGCTTTTGTAGCTAGAAAGGGGGCTGCTGTATCTTAAACCCCATTTCCACCAAATTTCCCAGTTGGGGTTTTGGGAACAACTTCTTATTCTTACAGTGCTGGCTGTTACCATGAAAACAAGGCCTCTACCAGTGCAATCAACTGCAGTGCTCACAGAAGCATCTCGGAGCACGCTCTGTTCATCCTTGTATTTATAAAAGTTAGAAAGATGAAAGCAATCACTGTAACAGGAATAAACTACAACTGATTTTGTATTACACTCAGTAATAGGAAAGATCACCTGATGGTACCCAGTTGAAAAGAGAGCTGCTTTAAGGACATAAAAATCCATTTATAGCAAAGAGGGAATTATCCAACTATTTAAAGAAATTCTTTTCTGCAGTAGTGGAAAACATTGTAAATACAGCAGAGTATAACTGTTATTCAGATACCAACGTGCTGATTGGGTGCATGAATACGTCAAATTTGGAGCGAGTTATTTTCTAATGTAATTTAATTAAAGAGTAACTCAAATGGCAATATGTTGAGATAGTTTTCTGGTTTGAGTTTACTGGTGTAGGAAGTCTTGGCTATTTCACACCAGTTCTGTGGTGTTGATGCAATTGTAGTCAGTATTGAATACAGCACTACTCATGTTCTGCTTTGCTCTTGTCTCTGCTTCAACGCTGTGTCTGAACTGTGCGGGCACACGTCACGTTACTTCACTCAAAAAGATGAAATAGAGAAGTGCTACCTAAGTCTGAAGTCTTCAATATAAATGCTGTTTGTAACTTTTTTCCCCCCTAAATGCTGCAAGGGAGGTTGTAGAGAGGTGGGTGCTGGTCTTTTCTCCCAGGTGATGGGGGATAGAACAAGGGGAAACGGCACCAAGCTGTGCCAAGGGAGGTTCAGGTTAGAGATAAGGAGGAAGTTCTTTACTGAGAGGGTCGTCAGAAGCTGGACCAGGCTGCCCAGGGAGGTGGTGGAGTCACCATCCCTGGATGTGTTTAAAGAGCGGGCAGACGAGGTACTTAAGGATATGGTTTAGGGGGTAGACAGGAGCGGTTGGACGTGATGATCTCAGAGGGCTTTTCCAACCGAGTGATTCTGTGATTCTGTGTGTGTTCTGTGGTTAATAAGCAATTTTAGCCCTGTAATTAATCTCGAATTAGATACTCGGATTTCTGTGTTCTCCTGCTTCCCTTCTACAAAACACAGTTTTGGATTAAGTTGTTCAGTATCAGTTGATGTGAAAAATGGGCCCATTTCAACACACCTAAAGGTGGGGATAGAGCCCCACCCCAGCCAGCGCCTCTTTTCAGTGAAGTTGTTAATTAGAGAAAGCAGATAAAGGTTGTCTTTTGTGCAGCACTCCTGTTGGAGTCTTTCTGGGGTTCTCATCATCATTTGTATGAAGAAACAAAAGGGGTGGTTCTAGGTTAGCCTCACGTACGCCAATTTGAAACTCCTCTGTTTGTTTTCAGGGCTCTTTGTTTTCAGGGTAACAGTGGCACCATGGCTAGAAGCCGTTACGTTCACTTCCACTGAAAATTTCAGAGATCCACTCTACTTTGTTTTACCTTCTGACGTGTGTGTGTTTCCTCTTACTGCAGGGAATACTGAAAGGCGACGACGACATTAACATGCTTGGAGAGGAATTTAGATTGGCTTATCAGAAGAGAAGAGGTAATGATGCATTATCAGAAGAGAGCTGAAATTCCCCCCATCTCATCTCGCACTTTGCCACTAGGTGTCATCTGATTTCTAGTGAAAATTTCCACCTGCTGTTCGCAGCGAGGAACTCCTTTTTAATATCGTAAGGAGTCTCCATTTTAGGGCTGCAGTTCTAAACTGATGCGCAGCTTTATTCAAGTGTTTGTTGTACTTGAATTAATCAATAAACTGTTACGGATTTCTCTGTTATTCTCAGTTAGTGATGTAGCAATGTTAAAAATGTTTTCTCCAGCAGGAACGTAAGGCAGTGTAAATTCCCATGTGTATTTCAGTATGGACCACAAGATTCTCCTAATGCATTATTGCTAGTTTTAATTCAAAGATTTACCTGCACGGGCATTATGCTATTAAAATACTCGTCTAAACGTAGTTTGTCTCATCTCGCAAGATGTGAGTGACTTGTTTCACTGTTAGTTCACAGTACTTCACGAGTAGGATCTAAGCAGAGACATTTTTCCCTTTGGGGGTCAGAATCACCATTTACACCTTTCTTTCAGTGCATGAAATACTATTTATGTGCTGTGTTCCTATTTAATTATTCTGAGAGAGGAATCCATCGCAATAGCTGAGGTTTGACAGTGGTCCATGCAAGCAGCACAGGTTTTTATTGCTCCTGGTCATTAATGTACACAAGATACACTCAGCTTATCTACACTCACACTTTCATGTAGCTCTTGATTGTATTGATATACAATGAAACCTTTAAGGATGTCGTGCTTATAGAGCACCTGGGAATATGGAGCCATCCCTCCTGACTGGATCCCAAAGCAGCAGCTGCCAGCCAGGGAAAGTGTTTTCACCTTGCCTAAACAAAGTAGCAGTTTTACACACTGCAGCTGGGTCAGATGATGGAGTCTGTCTGGATAGCAAGGGGCAAGTCCCATCCATGTTTTTGCCAGCCAGGGTGTAAGATGTAATGGCTAAAACAAGTTATGATCTTTTCTGTCAAAGAGCTGATGCCAGACCGACCAGCTTTGAGGGGAGATGTGTTACAAGAACAGAGAAGGCCAGTTTTACAACCATGTGTTTTGAAAAGGACGTGACATTTTCTTCTCAAATGGATCACTGGTTTATTTCTTTCTGCTGCAGCAAGGAATTTTCTGAGACTAAACCTTGATTTCTTTGGACTGAATAATACCTCAGATAAGGTGTAGTTTTAAATGCTAAAACAGAGCGAACTGATGACAAAGTTCACTTGCTGGAATATTCCTTGCACGGTCTGTGTTCCTCTGCTCACTACAGAACGGACAGTATGACTGAAATGTTAGTAGAAATTTGTATTCCATACAGTATTACAGCACAAGCTATCAGGCTTGTAAAGTGGTAAACAATTTAAACACAAGCCAAATCAACGAAATAAATGAACTGCAGTATACAGCTATTAACTGTTGTTATTAACATTCGTGTACAGTGCCAAAATAATGTACCGTGACTTGTACTTCAAACACAAGTTGGTTTTTTATGGAATCAATGATTTCCCCACTCAAGAGTTTTCATGAATTCCTCTTCAGTAAAAGACAGCATCTTAGCAGCTTCAATGTGCATCTGAAAGATAAATTAGGAGCAGAAGGTGAAATAGTGTGAATGGCCAAGATAAAATCCTGTATAAGTGGGACAACTGAATCCTGTTATTTGTACTGTGGTTTTGATGGATGTTAACCCCTTCAAACTGAAGCTGCTGTTCATATTTTGCTGCAAAAATTAAACTGCAGGAATAATGTGATAAATCGTACGCTAAACATTGCAACGTCAAACAGGACCAATAGCTTTTCTGAGTTCCTTATATTGCTTTAAAAATATCTCAGTTTTAATGAGGCGTGGAAGTTACTGAAAATCTGACAACTCTTGTGACCTCTGAAAAACACGTGTAAGAAAACTGGTTTACGTCCTTCCGAGATGATCAATATCCAGCTTAACTTGAAAGCTATAACAGATGAAATGCATCATTAAGATTCAGCACGCTAGCACCTCTGATATGTGTGATTCAATGTTAAATGAGAATTTTAACAAAATAATGTAACACTATTAAAAATTAACAGTTGGCATAAAACCAAGAGTAACTGAACTACACCTTGATGAGAAATGCCTGGAGTTGACCACCAGCAGCTGCGTTGTCAGGTTTCACACCATACATCTATGGTCCACTGTGGCACGTACACACCCCCACCCTCCCATACATACACCTGTACATAGGTACATGTTCAAAAATCGTACAGCACTCTGAATTTGTTGTGCAGCTTCAGAACGAACAGTGATACAAAAGGTCACGTGCAGTCCCAGGTATTTGGTAAGTGAGAAGTGTGATGGAGCCGTAAGACCTAAATGCATCAGTAGGTGGAAAATTGTGTGATCTGGGCAACAGCTCTTGGCATACTCTCCTCTCACTTTAATTTGCTTTCATGTGAACTCACAGGTACCATCAAAGCTCACTTGATGGGTCTATGCTGAAAATATATTTTGAGAAGTAGAAGGTATTTACCCACTGCGGCATCTGAGGTTTCTCTTTCCAAACACCTCTCCTTCTTGGGACATCAGTACAGCTTTATCAAATACAATAGTTAAATCCATTTTTACTATATTCTGTCTGAAGTACTGATCTACTTTTCACTACAATACCTTTCTATGAACGTTCTATCACTCACTGTTCAGCGTGAACTGTCAGCCAGTATTCTGCTACCCACCCTGTGCTCAATTTCAGCTTCAGTAGCTAAAGAAACCGGAAGGCAGTAGCCCCTGCCCTTCCTTTTACGCTTTGAGGCAGAGAAGTGGGAGGAGATATTAAATGAATGTAGAATTGAATGCAGAATCAAACTTTCAAAATCAGGCAAGCTGCGAGTGCAGTGTGGATGGGAACGCCCGTGCGGATGTTCCTACATTGTGCATGATGTTCCAGGAATTAAAAACAAATGGACATCAACTCCCTTCCTTGAGTCCAGTAAATCCACACGTAGGGTAAGTACTCTCTTTTGCTGCGGATGCAATATGCTGGGGGGGGGACACAAAAAATCTCACATGCTGAAATGGATTCTACTGACAGAGCAGCAAAGGGTGAAGCTGTTGTAGTATTACCTGAGCAGTATCTGCTCTTGAACAAACAGCTACTCTCAGTCCTAACCCTTGTCAGCAGTAATCCTTCACCATGAGCAGTGTGTGGTGGTTCCAGGTTAGGAGTGAAGTCAATCCAAGAGAAGCTCAGCCTTCGCTATAAAGCAAAACGTTACCAATGTGCGCTAAGAGAAGTGAGGCTGCTGCTCCCTTGCATTGAACCTCCCCAGGCGTGGGGCTCTAGTTTCCATGATTACCTTACTTGACAACAGACACATTTAGCTAGAAATCATTAACTAAAATAAAACAGCACTCTGGTCCTTACCTTTTGTTTCTTTAAAATATCAATTAACTGTAACTGCTTTTTAAAACCTGTAATTAGCTCTGCTTTTTGTTTCTGCAGTTTCCTGTTTTCTGTTTTTAATTCTTCAATTCTTCTGAGTTCTTGGTTAGCTACATCCTAAAAGGAGAAAGGTATTATTTATGAAAGCAGTGCTTTAACCAGTGATATTTGACACTGCATAACAAAATGCTCAACAGTAGCCACACATTCTGAAAAGAAATGTGATTAATCAAAATATTCCCACTTCAAAACTTAAAAAAAGGAAAATTTCTAAGGTAACAGCTGTGGTTTCCCTGTGTACCTACTAGGTGTGTATGTGTGCATCTCCCTTTTTTCTAAACACATCTGATTTTCACACAAATGGGGAAAACCAGAAAGACTAACTTTAATCCGTACATTTCTTTCTACTGCATAGGTTGCAGCAGTGTCATCAGAGAGAACTTAGCAAGCTCTTCGGTGACTTGCTCCAAGTTAATTTGGGCCTGTTTGTAAGGCACACAGCACATCCTATGTTGATTAAGCCTTTTGTCTCACTGTAGCACTACTGAGTGGTTGCAGGTTGGAACTTGTTTTCCTAAGCCACTGTACCTTGTTCCTTTGCTTCAATTTATTCAGCTCCGCCTTGTACCTTTCTGCTCCTTCCAGGGCCCTGTTCAAGCGAACCTCTGTTGCACTGTGACTGGCTGTGGCCTGCTTATGTACACGCTTTAGATTCTCCAATTCCTATTTAAGAAGCAAAGGTTAAAAACAAACATTACAAATAACTGTACTTTAATTAATCCCATACAGACAACTTAGTTGCAGCAAGGCCCACCCTTGAAGACTTCTTTTGGCCTGCAGATAGAATCTGTCTCAAAGACCATTGATTCCACCATTAAAACACCCTCTTCTCCTCTGAAGTCTTGAAAAAGGATCTTTCTTGTATTTGTGTTAAACTTCTTTTAGAATTATTATGGAGCTGATCATGTCAGAGCATGGGATTGACTGAAAAACCTTGTATGCTCAGCCAGAGGAGAGAAAAATGTCAGTATGTCCACTCTGGCTGATTTGTAACGGTGGCTGCTGCTCCCCACCTTTTCCCAGAGATTACCAAATGTAACTACCAATAAAAAGTTAAAGCCTGCTGAAGATGGCTGAGGGTAGTAACTATTTAATCTAGCAGAAAACAGTTCATCAGGTGTTTATGGGAACAATCAAAACACTTCCCTCTTATCTCTGATGATAGTATTTCATAGCGCTCTAAGTGGGGAAATAAGAAAAAGAGACCACGTTGAGGAGCAGAATAAAGAGATTAAAGATCAGGGACTATAGAGAAAAGAGAAAGTAGAAGAAATAAACAATTCTGGCAGAAAGAGCACATCTTGTCGTTTGTGAAATAGACTTTTTTTAAAAAGACTATTGAAGTTTTAGTAATGGGCACAGAAAGATCTCCAACCAAATCAGGGTAGGAAGAGGACTTCTTGTTGACCTTTTGCTCTCAGACTGCCTTATTTCTGCGTGCTTGTTCTATTTTCTCAATTCCATACCAGCTCTGGTGGTGGCTACTTCTAATTTCCACATAATTTCTCCTAGAATTACCTACTAATTGACAAGTGCATGCACCAAAGATGTTATGGTAAAGTTATGACCGGAACAGGTACTTCTGGGAAGCTTTGAATCTTCTCCAAAAGGGATGAAGGTAAGAGGCAAGTCAGATACATCTCACTAATCCTCCCAAATTCTATTGCTGACTATGCATTTTTCAAGAGCTCACAAACACAGATGTTGCTTCAACATATTTCTTTTGTTGCTAACCTGTCCACCTGATTGATTAAAAGAAGCTGGGTAAAAGCCTGAGGTAGGGCAGCAGAGCTCCCTGGTGCACGGGTCTGTGCATCACCAGGGAATGTCAATTCATCTGCTGGGACCTGAGCCCGGTGCTTCCACAGAAAACAAGCACGCAAACCTCTTTGCCTTGTATCAAGACAATGGAGTTGTGAATAGGGTCAGCTTGGTCTTTCCTGCTCTGTTATTTTACTCTGCATTACTATGAAAAGCTTTGGAATACAGCCTTTCAAGCATTTAATGACAAAAAAACCAGTCTGGATGCAATGCAAGTTACCTATCAGCTAATCATAACATCTAATGAAAGAATTCTAGTAATATTTTTAGGGCTTTTTGACATTTACTGTCATACATAACACCTTATCAAGGATTTTTTTGTGCAAGTCATCCAGTGAGGGTATATTGCTAAATATATTCAACTCCCAAGTTTTTCATCTTGAAAATGCCTGAAACAAGTATTTTATTTTATAAGTAGGCAAGGTTTCTGCCAATTTTTCAATACTATTCTTCACATAATGTTTCTCTAAGAGGGGGAAAAAAAACCCAACCCTACTATGCATTAAAACCACATCCCATTGCAATCTCTGGATTTTCTCCACTGATCTGGCACAGCTGAGGCACTTGAACATCAGTAGGGAGTGTGATACCAGAGGTCTGTAACCCTCCCCGCAGGCTTTCTTGCCTCCCAGTAGCAAGCATACACAGCTCTGCTATCTTTAGAAAGCTCAGCAACACCTGTCCACCCCCAAAAACATTTGAGAGCTAATGTTTGCTTAACATCAAGCCCTTCTTCAAGGCAAATTCTAAAATCCCAGCACAAAGCCTTAAAAGGAACAAGAGCACAAGTTTGGTGTTTCCCTGACCTCGATCCAACATTCTAGCTGAGCTGAACTGGCAAGTGAGAGAGAACAGAGAGGAAGGAATGTTCTCATACACAGGTGGTGCAAAGAGACAGGAGAGGTGATATCATCTGTTAGATCAACTGGATGGGGGAAAGAAAAGGAAAGAAAAAAAAAAAGGAGGAATGCTGGAAAGAAAAGTTGTGGGGAAGCATCAGAATTTGGCCGCTGCCTGAGGTGAGTGTGACATAGCCCCATGTACCGTGAGCCAATGAGTAGTACATGTACTCCTATTGAATATTTGCCCTGAATCAACAGTCAGAGTACTTATTTAAGAGAACTTAAACCCTCCAAGTATCTGCACAAGAACACCACACAAACTTAGAACATTTTAGTTTAAAACTGCCAGAACTATGTAGTGTTAGGATGAACGCATGCCTGTACAAACGCATAGCATGTTTTAATGGAAGTACAATGAGACTTTGTTAGGCTGAGTTGTGTTCTGTTTTCCCCAGATTTTTAAGTGAAACGCTATCCTGGCTACATTACCTGTACTACACGATCCTGTATGCAATACATGATTTTGAAGTCACCCTCTCTAGCTCTGAGTAATTAAAGAAAAACACATGCTGCTCTTAGATTAAGCACCAAACAAACAAAGCTGTGTGTGCAGGCCATCTGCTACAACAAGGCACATACACAATTTTGCATGTGTGGCCTAGAGCAGGAGCCAGGTTAATTCTGACTCATCCAAATCGGAGCGGCTGGTTTTCAAACAGCCCATGTTCGAGAACAAAGACACATCCTTTTCTCTGGCTGCAGGAAGAAGATATTACTGTAAGCTGCAGGTGGTTGGTTGGGGCTTTTTTTAATGTTCACCATGGTCTACAGCTTACAGTAAAACTCTTACAACCAGAAGTAATTTTTAACAATGATAATTAAAGCCAGACAAACAAAATTTCCGCATATTTTTCAAGATTCCTTTGTGAATTTGTCAGCAGTTTCTGAAAAGATTATTTTTGTCTCTTGTGGGGCTTTTACATAAGAATTTAATTTTAAAATACAGAAATACGTGATTGTAGAAGCAGAAGAAAAGCAATTAGCAAAATACATGCTTTCTTCCTTTAAAAAAGTGATTAGACCATTCAATAACACTGTTTCTGAAACTATTATCAGAGGGTGAAATGCTAATGGGACCACTGGATTCTGATCTGTCAAACTAGGGCACAGGGGGTGATCTGATGCAGTTTTTTCCCTTTCATGAGATAAATGAGACCCAATATCCGCAATACCTTTTCTAGCGCAGTGACCTCTTGTTGTAACCCTTCACGTCTTTTGTTTGCTTCTTGTGACAACATTTTGTACTTCTCAGTCTGGGAACGCTGCACGTTGATTGTTCGCTGCAGTCTGGTGTTTTCTTCTTCCACATCTTTAAGCCGAGATTTTAAATTCTGATTTTCATCATCCTGGTCGACAGGAATTAGCAAAAAAAACCCAACTACATTATTGCAAGGAAGCAGTAGGGTAATGTGATAGTAATGTTTTGCAAATAAAAGGCAGTAAAAATACACATATTGTAGATATAAAGATTTTTTTTAATTATGTTATTTTTTTAATTGTTTAGACCCTTCATGACGGATTTCACAACAATTTTATGACAGGAAACAACTCAGATGAACTAAGAAAACAAAGCACCAATTTGGTGGACAACACTTCAAAATACACTAACACTTTTCTAATTCAATTTCCTGCAGTCTTTTACTTGGAGCTGTCTTGTAGCAGTATGTAAAACATTTCATTTTTATAGTTCAAAGATATTGAGAACTATTAGAATGTTACAGAATAACATGAGTAACAGTGGCACATAGATATTTTGTGAAAACAGCTAATAGCACACATTAGGAAAAATTCTGGGAAAAAAGAGAATATAATTACTGATAAATCAACCCATTATGTTTTAGGAGATTATCTGTTTTAACTTAAAAGCAAGCTAATGATCTAGGATACATCAAGTATTCAAATTCAAGATTCTTTTAACATCAAGTGAGTCCTGTATTAGCTTCATGACCTCCTGGCAATTACATCCCATATTAAGCATAATTTCAAGGCATTTTTCTTTTATAACCTTTGAAACATAGCAAGTGAATACTAACGTTGGTTATTGCAGAGATAGGCAATACGCCCTTCATTTCTTTAAGAAAAAGAAATCAAGGCACATAGAGAAATGGAGTTTCAATGAAAACCATCTCTCCTGTCCTCTCAGTCCCTAGGAATATATGCATCTCAGCTGGGAAATGTTTGTGCTTCACCCTGTGTTTCACCTGACTGCACACACCTCAGAAACTCCCACTTCTTTATATTTAAAACAGATTTACTGCTTCCTGAAAATAATTGGTCTGTGAATTGGAAAAAAACCCAGAATCTACCTCAGGGCTTCGCCAATGTGACGTTTTTGTGACCTTCTGAATGTAGTATTTTCACACCAGAGAAACCAATACCCAAAATGATACATTTACATACAGAGGACCACAGGAGCAGGACACGAATAGGTACGAGGTTGTCTTCTGTCATCTGCTATTGGAACTGAATTCTGCAGTATTTCTGGCATCAAACGATGAAGTTCAATAGCTACTGACAAAAATGTACTTGACTGGAAAATGAAAATGTCTTTAACGTAACAACTTTCTGATCACAGCATAAAAGTACTGAAATGCAGAATTGTATTGATAAAAATGAAATGAAGTACATACGTAAAATAGCAAAATCTAATTCCTTCTAAAGATTTTTCTCCAGGTACCTAACTCAAAAAACTTATTTAATATCATCCTGCTCCTTAACTCTAAATTAAAAGCTTGAGGGAAAACACATAGGTAGTTTATCACATGTTCTCAATGTCATAATCACATTTGGGCCTGGGGAGTATGTGGAAAAAAAGCATTCTAAAGTTAAAAAGACCACAACTAAGAATAATCTAATTGTGTGAAATGAAAAGGTAGTTCAAAAACCTTGCTTGATTGCAAATGCATGAAAAAGGTGATCCTCCTGCTACACAGACACAAAGTATTCAGGGTTTTACAGTTCAAGAGACATCTCAGTATCACCTGGAAACATAGTGCAAGACAGCAAAACTCACCTGTAGAACACTCTGACACTAAAATATCCGTATAGCTTCACAACGCTTTAACTTCAGTCTGATCTGCCCAAATGTGCAATTTCAAACACAGTCCTCTGCATCAAAGGTATCTTGGGAACAGAGAAAGCCTAACTTCTGGTTTGATTACAGTATTCCATCTAAAGTGGATCACAGATCAGCTGTTTCCACACTTCTTTCCAAGGACATCCAAAACACCTGATTAAATTTATTAAGCTTTTTTATTTCTCATGTTGCCCTAAACATCCCTCTCCTCCCATCACCCAGCACCCCTTGTCTTCTTTGTGTACACTAAAATCTGTACTTGACTGGTACTGTATCCTCACCCTTCTTCTCAGGCTCTGGTAACGCTCTCCTTCCCAGCAGTGACAGCTGGAGCACTCCTTAGCACGGAGCACGCCTTCATTCCCAGTGGTTCTTGCCTGCTTCAGATTCTTTTTCATTAAGCATATTTTGCAAGATTTTAGCCCAAGATCACACTTAGTCAGAAATTACTCTACTTGAGTTTAAATTCTTAGGTGATTTTAAAAAACAGAACCTTTGTTCTTAATACTTGACAAGAAAAGGTTGAGGGAATTTTGTTGTATTTGTTAAAGAGGAACCCACTCCATTTCTACAGCTAGGAAAACTCAGCTCTTACCTTTTTCCTGCATTCACTCACTGCACTATCGAGCTCTTCCTGTGTAACACGTAACTTTGCCTTAAGAAATCTGATTTGAGCTTCTGTGAACACAGAAAGTTACATTTAATATCCACAGATACTCATAATTCATTGTAGAAAAGAAGCAAGACTGATGCAAGAGCTCACTTTGATCTTCTAGTTTTTATAAACACATTGTTTATAATTATTAAAGAGAATCAGGCAAATAAACACTCAGATTTATAAATGAATGTTGCATGTTTCTCATTCTTAGGTAAAGCTTTGCATTGATTTTTCTTTTTAATGACTGAACTTGGCATCTTTAAAATGTGCAGGGCCAATAACAAGTGGGATTTAGGAAAAAAATGAGATACAGCCTGACTTTTTCCTCCTGTGACATCCTTGCTAGCTTCTGGTGGCTATCCTGAGATGGAGACCATATTGAAGCCATCAAGTTTAATACTCTTTCATGTACTTCTATACTATCAAGTTTTTTTATTTTCTTAATAAACCATTATAGTTTGGCATTAACAATACCCTGTGGCAATGAGTTGGCTAATTTAATTATGCATTATGTGAAAGAAAAACACTTTGTATAGCTTGCCTTAAATCCAGTTTAATGTGGCATTTAGTAGTGTTTGCATTACAAAAATGCAGCTTTCCCTTTACCATTACTGTTTGGTTACAGAATCCTTCATATTGTTTTGTTTTCAGCTTGAAGATTCAAACTCAAGTTGTTTCATGCTTCCTACCGTCTCTTTCCCAGTTCCACATCCTGGTATTGAGATGGGGTGTGCAGAACTGCATCTCGTACTCAAGACAGGGTAGCAACAATCGCCTAACAGCATCATGATGACAGTACAATATTTTCTGTCACTTTCTGAAGGATTTCTAACCACTAGTTTGCCTTTTTCCCTGTGAACAAGCAATATGTTTATGCTTTTGGAGATGTCTTAATTAGTAATAACTGAACAAAGTCCAACTCAGAAGTAGGTGTAATTGGCATTGTTTATTCTATCAGCATTTCTTTGTACTCTTTAATGCTGAATATAAACCTCCATTCTATCACCTCAGTACCATGAGATTCTTCAACAACACTTCAGTGTCAGTTTTAACTGACATCATTTCACATACAAATCATTGTTTGAATTATTTTATTAATTTATAAATTAGTTTGAATTTTCACAAAAGGTGAAGGTAATTAAATTAGCTTCCTAACTGGTCAATGTTAATCACCTGATGAGGCTGACAAGGGGGAGGGATATCACTTAACAGGATGGTCTGAGGTTATAAAGAAACCAACAGTTTAGGGAGTGGTAAAGAAGAAAAGGCCACCTGAGAGACCTTACAAGAAGGAATAGGCGTCTTGAACTTCTCAGATAATCTGAAGATTAACATGAAGTGTGACAGCACGTTCAGGTACTTTGTTCATATGTGTGTGGGTATATTAGATAAAAATAAGAGCTTCATTTCGTCCTGCTGTGTGTCTGTGTGCTTCTATTGTTGGCTGTTACTGTAGAGTTGAGTTATAACCCACAAGAACAGCCCCTGAGAGAAAAAGAATGTGCAAACTACTGTGTTGGCAGAAAAATGGCTCCACTGTGATAACCTGTGATCACAATACAAATATATGGAACCTAAGTCCAGGAAGAGCAGTGCAAGAAGCTTAGGGAAAGGACAATGCTATGGAACCTTATTAGCACATTGGCCTAAAAAGTGTAGCACGGACACATAAGCCTAAAGAAACGCCTCCTAGGAAATTCCCACTAAGGGATTGTCCTGCTCTCCTACACTTTCTTATGAAAACCGTCACAGTTCTGTGAGTTTGGCACTGCTAGCATGCTCTGCAGTAACTTACTTAGCATATTAAGGAGGCATTCAGTGTTCTAAATAGTTAATATCACATTTAAAAAGCAACAATCCATTCACAGTGTTTTAGTTTCATCATTAATGTCACAGAAACAATTTCCACTACTCAAATAGGTGCCCTTGGTCCGTGAGACCTGATTACTACACACCACTAGTAACTCTTCTTGAGTCATCTTGGATTTATTTTGTGTAAGCTTCCAATGCAGTCCAAAGCAATTTCTTTTTAGCTCAGGAACAACAGCTATAAAAAAGATATCTTGGGATCTGTTTTGGGAGAATTGCTAACAGAAGACTTGCACAGAATTACATGAGGTTAGAAATCAAGCTATTTTGTGTTGGCATGCTTGTTGACATCAAACTTTTAGATTAAAAGAAGAGGTTTTGGGCATTTTGTACTACAGCAGTAGTGACTTCATGCTTGTTTTGGCATCATAAGAAAAAGACAGATGTGCATCACGCCTTTACCTTCACTGGCAAATGCTGCAATCCCCTTTCCTATCCCATTTCTAGGACAAAGGCAAACACCCCACTTGGAGTGGGAAAGTATCTGGAGGATTGTCATTCAAGCACTGTAGCCAAAACATTACTTCACTTAAGCCCTTTACTGAGATCCCAAGCATTGATCTGAGGAAGGGCTTTTTCCTTTAAATGCAGAATCTGTGCAAAGGACTGAAGCTCATCATTTTGGAAACAAGCAGCTTAGCATCATGTATTTCTGTTTCCCCAGTGAAATGAATCAAATGTTATCCACATATTCAACATATGTAACCATCCAAATATCTTCCTACAAAGGTGGATAATCAAGATAAAACCTCACTTTTTCCCATGATTAATCATATGTGACCTGATCTTCCTCTAGGACTACATAAAGAAGAGAAACTTCTCTTTTTCATTTAACTTAAGGGCTTTAGAAATTTCCCTGTAGTTCCTACAGAAATTCTTCCTTTTTCCCACAGCAGAACCCATTCCTAGCAGTCAGGAAGTGAGAAAAACAGTACTCAACCATGGGAGGAATCCTACCTGCTCCAATTTCACTTCCAGCACTTGGAATAATGTCATCATCTGGACAATCTGGTAAGCCTCCTTTCTGTAGTTTTTCTTCAATTTTGCTTATTGTTTTTTCTAAAGAAAAATCTATGCAATCTTCCAGTACTGCAACATCATCAGCGCTTCGTACTTTCAGGTTTCTTATTTTTGAACTAAAAGAAAAGCAAGCCCTACATCTTAAATTTGTAATACAAAAAAAATTTACAAAAATACAGCTATTTGCTGTTTTTAAGGATACAGTTATTTACCAAATGCAACCTCATTGCTTGCATTTGTATGAAAGATGCATTGATGGTAATTTATTTATGTAGGATACCTTTACTGTATTCCACATAATTAAAGGATTTTATGTATTATAACATAGGAGTCAGAGAAACAGTACTGTTTTCTACTGAGAAGATTTTGGCATGGTCTTCTCATAGAACAGCTTTATAACTAATCAGAAAAAAAGAAAGAAACAGGGGAATGTTCTCCTGGCTTGGCTTTAGCTACTCTCCTCTGCCTTATTTCCTGCTAATTTCCTTCTCCCCACATGTTACCTTCTAGCAGCCTGTTCTCTCTAGCTGTACTCCTACCTTACGACCACAATTTCTGTATCACTATGCCTGGCCTAGGAAATGTCACTGATCCTTGAAGTTGCACACCAAAGTTTTCATAAAATAAAACCACGTATCTGCTACATAGGGTATCTCCTCAGCTTTCTTTTATAAAATATGACACTAGTTCCCACAGGACCTGAAGCTCCTAAATTCATCATCCCAATGCAGCCTCCAAACTCCTTCTAGCTGCTAACTTTCTCCCACAACTTTGGGTTCACCCTGCAGGTCCTGTATCTGCACAACTGCACTTCTAAATCTCATCATGTGGTGCCAGCATGACAGTCTCCCCTGAACTGCCCAAGGGAGGTCCAAAGGCTCCACAGGTGACTCCGAAGTCCTGAAAGAGAACCTCAGCCTGTGTCAATTCTATGCTCTGCCACCTTGCAGACAATTTTCATCCTATTTTGGTATTTGTCCGTATCTTGTGGCGGTTTTAATTTGGTGTCAGGATTTTTATATGTTTCTCTATGCTTTTCTTTTGTCAAAATCTCCATTTCTTGCTTTTACAACCTTGAATTTGCTATCTACAGAGCTGAAACTTTTCAGCTTGAAACCCCTGAAAGCTGTGGTACTACTACTGACTCTTGTCTTGTGAGCCCGAGATTCACAAAAACAGGTGAGACCCTCGTGGGCCTCATGATTCCCATCACAAGTCTGATCACAAATCAGTCTGCACCACCTAAGCATGCTCTGTCAGGCTGCCTCAGGTGATGCATTGCCCACGTGTATGCTCATTAGGCATCCTTTCCCTGCAGGAGTTAACAGAGTTTAACTGTGAGCCTTGAGGAGCACTTGAGCAAGAAGCAACATTTTCATTGTTATAATATTAATCACATAGGTTCACTAGTAAGTAAGTTTTGGAGCCCTGTGCAAGTAAACAGAGATCGCTTACACCGTGCAACTGACTGAGGAGGACCAAAAGTTTGATAATTTATACAGGTATATAGAAATCTAGAAGCATATATGAACAAAAATAACCTGATAGACAAAAATAGCAACTAAATATTTTTACAAACAGAAAAAGATGTGTAAAACATACCTTGAAGTTGTCCTTTTTCCCTTACTTCCAGAGTACGGTCTGTCCTGAGCCGTGGGCGCAGAAGCACATTTCTTCTTGTTTGCTAGCTACAAATTTTTATCAGAAAGTAGTGATTATTTTTTTTTTAGATAAGAATTACTTTTTTCTAGTGTTTTTTGTTGGGTTTTTTTGGTGGTTTTCACATATTCAGACTTAAGGATACTTTTCAAAATATGCTTTTCCAACAGCATAATTTTTCAGTTTCATTTGCGCTCACCTTTGTTTCGCAACTCTTATGTCTGTATATCCAAATCACAATACATCCAATAGTTATTTGCTTGTGGAAGTTTTTGCACACATACTCAAAATAAATTCATGCATAAGCAAGGCTCTCAGCTAAGATCAAGATATTAACTGTTGGACTGTCAACAAAGTGCATTTCTTGGAAAAATGCTTCTCATACCTTCAAAACCATGCTATTTAAAACCATTATTTCAATCTTATAAATTCCCTGTAGAAGGAATATATAACAGTATTTTTGTTACTTTTGGCCAATTAAATGTTCTTCAAAAATTAGGTATTTTTCCGCTATATTCTGATAAATAACCAGAGGCAGGATTTTGGAAGTTTTAGCTCGCCTCCTAGAAGATTAACTGTAACTGTAACTAGGGACTAGTGAATTTATTCCTAATCTTAATCTCATTTTTCCATTTTCTTTCCCTTTCTCTAGTCAGTTATTTCGATTACTTGTTTATTATTACATCTAGAAGACAGCAGCAGTGCCTTTAATACTATACTGGTAGGGGAAGGAGTGGGAGAAAGGAATAATTATGTTCTAATACTTTGCACTTGGGAGTTCTTAGTTTGATGTTCAAAACCACTGAACACTTCTGTCAATGCTTCACAGAAGAGGAAACTCAGATCATAAAACTTAAATGTGGTGTAAGTCCACTTAACCACCAGTGGCACTGAGGAACTCTGGTAATGCTGTCCCTGTGGCACTGCTTTGAACATCACTTCCTTTTGGCTTCCCACTCACTTCGGCTTTCCTTTTGGTGTCCCAACTGTAGCACAGCCTCAAAACCAGAAGTAATATGTGGAAATCATACTAGAAGATAAATTAACTAGGGCAGTTTTGATTTTGATACCTTGACATATGAGCGTACAAGAGATAAAACTTCAGGACAGAGTGGATCTCTGCAGAAAAAAAATAAATAAAAAAATTCACTGAACATGTATAACAAAATAAACAGTTTACAAAATAATAAAATCAACCCTTCCATCAGAATCAGGAGAATAGCATTCTGTATGTCTAAAATAAGCAATATACCTAGGGTGGGAACATTTCCACTCCACCCTACTTGCTATCTAAATCACCTGGTGAGTCACGGGTATCTAATACAACAGTTTACTTATGTACCAGAATGTTAATCTCTTCTCCTGCAATTCGGGCAATAGCTGCAACTCCTGGTTTATTAGACCAATGATTCCTTGTATCAGGGAGTACTCAGCCAGTATGCAGAGTGTTATCAACTTCAGCAACAGAGACTGACAAAACATTACCAAAGATCACCAACAGCTCTGTACATACTATGCCTACCTGATGTAAGATCCCTGAGTTAATACAAAGAAAACGAAGAAATAAATCAGTATCCTCCACATCCTACGGAATGCAATTGTATGCTCAGATTGACTGTTGTCAAGTCAATAGTCTGGGACTACCAGGTGGATATGAGGTAGGAGCAATTTATAAATTAAGCAACACAGAATTTTCTCTGAAATACATATTACAAATATTGTAGCCATTTTACAGATGAAAAAGACAGGAATAAAAAAGCAGCTCTATTATCTGCTTATTCAGCTCAAGACCATGCTTCTTAGTAACCGAACTTCAGGTTAAATGATTATTTTAAAAATCTGCTGGAAACAAGCAGAACATTTTGGCATGCTATGGACTATTCAGGTCAAGTTTCTTGTCATATAGAGAACTTTTTTGCTTTCAGGATGAGTTCTGTGAATCTGCATTATTGCACTGAAAGGCTACTTTTTCAATTTTATAAATTTTTACTTCAATTAAAATGCTGGCTTATAAAAGAATTTGAATAAAATTTAAATTTTAGGCACATCAACTCATCTCAATTTTTTCTGCCCAGCTGATTTGAGCAAATGTTTAGAACTTGCCTCTTAAAATTTCAGACATCCATTCATCAACAAGAATTATCTGTACAAAGCTCCAGATTTTATTAATCCAAAAAAAAAAAAACCCCAAACCAAAAAACCTGGAGAAATCATCTGTGTGTGGCTGGCAACAGACCTCAAGAATAGGATGATTAGTTTTTGTCTATTTACCCTATTTTCCCCATGCCTCCTTCCTATTGGCTAGCGTTAGAAGCACGCAGAAGGTAAGGATTTGCTGCCACAGAAATAGCAGTTATACGTTATTCTGAAAAATACAAAACACAACACTCTATACTCGAGTAAACAATGTTCTTTCTATCCATACACTAATTTGTTCTTACGATATCTGTCGTCTCAGGGCTGCCTTGTTAAAAACAAACAGCAAAACAAACAAAAAAACCCACCCTCACTGCTCATTAAATTCCTCGAACTTGTTTAGCCTTAATGCTTTCTCTTCTTTTCCCTATACATGACAACCCATTTTTAAAACCTCATAATACCATTCTATAGTTGTTCGGTAAGTGAAATTAATGGGTAAATCCTGAAAAAGTATACAAATAAGTAGCTAGAGGATTGTGGCAACACTGAAACAGAAGCTAATGTTTAACGTTTCCATCTCTGCATGTAAACACGAGACGCATGTGCATGAGCAAACCCTTTGTGTGTGCTAATCCTATTGAAAGCCTATAGCATGCCTGCCCATGCGCGTACAGTTCCCATCGCCATAAGCCTGGCAATGCTCTGAAGAGTGAAAGTGTAAACAAAAGCTGATTTCAATGTGGTGTCACTGGAGCTCCTTTGTCTCTATGTAACTCAAGCTTCTCTCAAAAAATTGTGCTATAAAAACTCCACAACAACTGATTTTAAAATATATACTGACTTGGAGAGTGACTTAAATATGTTGGTTTTTTTTTTACTTTGCTTATTCATTTTTTTCTCTTAACCTGTCTTACTTTTCCCTGATGCTACCTCTTTCTTTGCTTCAATTTCTCCCCCTCTTTACAGTTGCTTTAGTGTTCATTCTTCTTAAAGGAATCAATGGAACTGGAACTCAAGTGCTTCCTTTAGATTTATGGCCTATCTGCTTGCACATTTAAAAAAAAACCACAAATTTTAATTAAATATTAAATACTTGGAACTAATCTAATTGAATGGCCTCAATGTTCACTCATGAATAACCAGTGTGCCTAATTCCTCGCACACATTTCTCTCCTTTTTTCACTACAGCATGGGATTTCAATTCTTCTCTCACATAACTGTTTACCAGAACAGGTATTTCAACATAAATCTAACTAAAGCAAGATACAGAATTTGTTTGCAAAGCATGATTATACTGATAACATGTAGATTTTATTCCCCCCCCATCACCTCTACAACTGACAGATATGGCTTTAAAATAGCTCAGGAATCATTTTAACTGTAGTAGCAAACTTTTACTGGTATAGCCAGGCTTCTATCACAGCCTCGCTGTCACACCTTCTTGTGTTCTGAAGAATCCTTTTACCCTCATAAAAAAAACCCTCACTTCTTGTTTTTGCTTTTAATCTGCACAAAAGTAATTATTTGACTTTCATCTATACTATTTCAAAACTGTTCCCCAACTGCTGCTTAACATTTGATGCACTTGTAATCAGGCCCTGTATCTTTGTTATTCAGATTAGGGGCACTGTAAATTTAGGAACCTATCAGAGTACATCTTTGATAAACTATTTATTAGTCTATCCTAAACTCGCCCATTTCCTGTACTATCAATATATAAACCCTTGAACAATGAAGTAAATAATAATGCCCTTGAACAACTAAGTAAATACGGCTACGTATCCACTCTAGAGCTAAGGGGTTTGAACGTACATGCCAGAGCCCACCGTTGGACGTATTTTCACATAGGCCAAAGGTATGTCGGCCTCACAAGTGTAATGATGTACAAGTTCCAGAGGGTGGCAGCTGAATGTCTCTCTGTCTAAGTGTTTTGTGTTTGGTTTTGGTTTGGTTTGGTTTTGTTTTGGTTTGTTTTTTTTTTAATCAAGCACTTCCTCTCCTAGGAACATTTAGGCTAAGCTAAGTGTTAACCAGTGCCTATTTCTTTGCTTTGTCAGCTGAACTGGTTAAAACTTTCTACTGTTGAGTGTCTACTGCTTTGTACTGCAAAGAAACCTGTTACCTTACCTTGCTTTTTTACAGATGTCAGCAGTGCTTAGCATCCTTGATAGAACATTTTAGCAAGATTAAGACTTCCTTGGAATAACAAGGAACAACCCTTACTTATTATCGTTTAAAATAACAGGAAAAAAATTAGATGCCACCAATCCAGTATGCTGCAAAGACAGATAAAACAAGAGGCTGACTAGGGTGCAAGTCAGTGTGTGCAGGATCAGTGTGAAAGATTTCCCATGAATTATATGCAGCAGTTGTAAAGCACGTACCTCTGACTGTTGTCTTCACGTGACTTAGTCTGTACTGAAACTGGTCTTGAGAGTCTCTCCTGTTGGCTTTTCTTTATTGAAAAAAAAAAAAAAGAAGTCAATTTTGAGGGGAATATAATCCATTAGAGATGAACTACCTATTTGTAAACCACAGATCACAACTACTGTAGTATACAATGGAAAAGAATGGAAACTATAGTCTGTTGTGGAAAAGAACTTCTCAAACACAGGAAAAGACAGCTAAAAATTTAACTGTCATTGCAATCCCCCAACATTTATTTCTGTTCCACAACATGTAATTGCCTTTTGCCCATAAAACTTCTGCCCAGCTTAACATGACCTTCCCTCGTTTTTCTCTGAAATACAGGAGTAGCAAATGCACAGCAAGTAGAACAAATTTTCTATTTTCCATACTGTGCAATAAGCCTTAAAAATAAATCTTTATTCATGCAATACAACCAGTACTTTAGAGAACAATTCAGTCTGAATATTCATAGTTTCGATGTCGCTAAGTTAGTCAGAAAGCACAATGCAGAACAAGATGCAGTTGTCTTGTTTGGTGTTTTGGTTTTTTGGGTTTTTTTTGAGCTTAGACTGGTTTTCTTATGTTGTTAAATGTGTATCTGTGGAATCTGGCAGTGCCATGTGGTGTATTAAGTGTCCTAAGAATATCTGATCTTCTGCTGTATTTAGAAAAGGAAAAAAAAAGTGGTTTTGTTGTTGCTGTTTTTTAAAGGAAAGAGTCTAGCTGCTATTTTGGATGCTTCATCTGCTTCTGTTCAAATGCCAAGCAGTTAGCCTCAGCTTATCACAGCTCAAAAGAGTATGTTTTCACAGGACATTCAACAGTAGGAAAACTGCATACAAGTATAGCTTTCCAGAAGACTAAATCACAGAATCGCTCGGTTGGAAAAGACCTCTGAGATCATCATGTCCAACCGTTCCTGTCTACCCCCTAAACCATATCCCTAAGTACCTCGTCTACCCGCTCCTTAAATACATCCAGGGATGGTGACTCCACCACCTCCCTGGGCACCCTGTTCCAGCTTCTGACGACCCTCTCAGTAAAGAACTTCCTCCTTCTCTCTAACCTGAACCTCCCTTGGCACAGCTTGCTTTTATTTATTTGAGTGCACTTACAACGATTACATCTAATATGCAGAACACCTTCTCCAAACTGGTTTGGGTATGAACCATATCTCCCCCTTTGTCTTTTTAAAATTTGTTCAATTTCCATGTAAAAACTTGACTGTATCTGGTACACAGCCACACCAATGTTAAAATATAATACTGACAATAAACGGGAATTTTTTCTGTTTTAAGAAATTTTCCTTCTTACTAACAATGCCCCTGCTTAATGCAGGGGGGTTGGACTAGATGATCTTTAAAGGTCCCTTTCAACCCAATACATTCTATGATTCTATATTTTTCTATTTATGTTGCTTATTCTTTGTACTTCTTTGAGCTTGAACAATGTAGATCCTATTTCCTAATGTTATTGCATTAGTATCTGCTTTTCAAATACTTTTTTTTTTAATATTTCCAACAAACTCACCTACAGACGCTCAAAAGTCATAGACAATAGGTCACAGACAATTTATTCCTGTGGTTTTATTTAAATATCTGAACAAATTCTCTACACATCTATGTGAACATCTATCTACCCGATGATGTATTTTTGATGTGTTTTTAGCAGAAGTTTACAATTTTGAAAAAAAAGAAATTAAAGCTTTGATTGCATTTGAAACCAAAATACGTTTTGTTGTCCTGGACTAAATAATTTCTTTTGAAACTTGACCCTGCGTGCATGTGAATCAAGGCTAAATAATGTAACAGTCTGCATAACCTACTCACCATTACTGCTTCAGCCTGACGTACCAGTTTTTCTGTTTTTGCTTCTAATTCTGCATTCAGTCGCCTGAAAGAGTAAGAATGCTTGTCACTAAGTTTTTGAAAGATTTAAAAGAAATAAATATAAGCATGACAGCACCTCTGCTGAATTAAGTGAAACTTTTAAAACTCCTACAAAGGAACACACAGATATACTTCAGGGTATTAACAAAGTTATGTTTCAACAATTTCTCAGGCTTGTGTCAAATCAATAGTAATAAAAGACCTATACCTATTAAACAGTAAGTACACACCTATTAATTCTGAGAGGTAAGGGATATCCTTGGTTTTGGCCATGTCATTGCTTAATACACATTTTATGACTTTATTTTCCCACTGCAATCTGGTTTTTTTAACACAGTCCTTACCCTGGGTACACTTAGAAGGACGGGCAGGGGAAGGAGTCATGTACATTACTAGATCACATAATTAAAACACATCACTGTACATATGTCCAGGTTAAAATAAGCTTGTGTTCTTGCATTCTTCACTTTACAGCTTTTCATGCAGCGTGGCTGAGTTTGAGACATGGCTCCTTGTACATCCTCACCATTCACGGGGGCCAAGAACCAACAGGTATGAGAGTTACTTCTTTTAAATGTGCTTTCACTGCATTTGCATTTGTCACAAGCTTTAGAGCTTTTAAGCTTTTTTTAAACAGACTTAAGCACTTTAATATTCATAATTTTAAAGTAATGTCAGTGTTTTAAATGCAGAAAGTTCCGATGTCCAGTGCTGTGGGGTGGAAGTGAGGCCTAGAGCAGTGCAAGGCCTGCCCGAGGTGCCCGTCCAAAGGGCGGCAGGAAGACAGTACCGCGGCGGGGGGGGCAGATAAACTTCGTTTCTGGTGCTCTCCCCTGTTGGCTCGGAGGTCCAGCTGAGGGGCTGGGACACGGAGGACTACGTAAAGTCCGCTAGGACAGCCAGCGGCGAGCAAGGCGAGGCTGAGGTGACAGAGCCTGGCCGCCGCCCCCGGCCGCCTACT